ATCTCCGGATGTTACAAATTCGTCAATCTTTTAGATTCTGAGTGGAGTGAAGAAGCTTAATAAATATAGACTAATATCTAGACTTGCTCGGATTTCTACGTGTCGCACCATTTTTGAAGGAAAACATTGTAGAGAGGTACTTTAGGGAAGTTATTTTCTCAAGAGTTTTCTTATAAAATTTGAAAAACCGAAAAAAAACTGGAAAACTTACGAAATATATTAATAAAATATTTATTATGATTTTTATTCATGTGCACAACTTTTCTACTAACAATTTTGCTCCAAAAAATATTGATAGCAATATTTCTAAAATAAAATTTCATTGGGGAGGAACTTTATAGAGGTCATTTTTTGATTTTTTTGGAGTATTCCCAACAAACGTGAAAAACCGGGATAAAATATGGGAAAATCAGGAAAAACGGAGGAATCCCGTGATGATCGGTACAATATTAAACAAATATTATTAAAAAAAATATGTAAAGCCTATTTAATATTTTACTATAATATGACATTGATATTATTAACAAAGCATTAAGATCAACTGAACTCTGCTCAGAATCGTTTTACTGTAAGCAATAGTTTATCGTTACTTACAGATATACATTTATATATCTATAACATTGGCTTCACCCGTCTTCAATATTCAAGGGCGTCTTTTTTAATTGAATTTGTTTTCTGTTATTTTTAGTCATTATGAATTCGTTTAAGCTTTATTTTAAAACCATTTTTAATTTATATAGTCCAAATTCCAATAACCGACCCAGAGGTAGAAAATAAAAATATATTAATTTTAAAACAGGAGATTATAAAAGACGTATATTGCGGGAATATTGTAGGAAAGGTCAACAAGGGCAAAATAACCGTCAGCATGTTAAATATATTGTCTCTCGAAATACAAGTTAAGAACAATCTCCCGTGGATTAATTATGACGATGAATTCAAATGTAATATTTTTTCGATAAACAATATCAAAAATGACGAAACACTAATTATTATTAATAACTCCAGTCAAATGTCTTAAACACTCAGGGACGTAGAGAACAGGTTAAAAACATCAATTACAATACTAATGAGAACAAGAGTGAGTAAAGTCTATGAATTATAAAACGTAGCCAAAAGGGCAGTTTGTTTTGGAAATGATAGGTTAGTTTTTTTAACGAAAATTTGCACGGGTTTAACCTTTCGGGTCAGGCCTTTTGCAGGAACGATATCGGCCAGCTGTACATGTTGTTGTCAAAAGCGCAGCATAAGCTCATCTATAGTCCACGACACGAAAACTTGCCCCTGAGTATTGCGACTCACAACACCCGCTTACCCTACCCGATAGCAATGGATTCTTAACCTTTATCGTTTATTGTACATTGCGCAGCTATTGCAGTGCTGTGGGTATTTAGCACGGCTATCAGCGCTAATGGGACGAATTGGCCACTAGGTTTGCGACGGTCAGGGACCAGATTTCGTGTCACAGACTATAGCTGGAAGACCCAGGGTATTTATACCAGCCGCCGAGAAGGCCTTAGCAGACAAATCTTGATCTACAAACTGCGAGCACCTTCACGCCGGTTTGAATTGTGAGATTAAATTTAATTATTTTCATCAGTTAAATAAAATATACTTAAAAATATATAGTTATAATTTACTTGAAGTGTTAAAGACATGCGCAACAACAGCATCTAAAAAATATAATCAAACTTTGAAAAAAACACGGTATTAAAGAAAAAAAAAAACTTACCAGTTACTGATTGTCCTTCACGTGGACCTGTTAGTTTTAATAAATCAACATTTAGTCTACACTGGTTATAAATAATACAGAGTCTCACTAAGATATACCTAGTTATTGTATTATAACATCTCTAACGATAATAAAGATAACCAATTTTGTTTTTTACATTATTCACAGGAATAAATACTAAAAATATACCTAATCTAACTATACAACTAATATACTCATTTACTAACACTTTGGTTAATACCTGATAAATTGTAAGAATGTAACTTAATAAATGAAAAGAGTTAATAAAGATTAGAAAAAAAAGGATCGATAAAATGTGGAAGATTCATTGTTATAAGTCATACCTAGTAAAAAACCTTCTCGACTGACTGCAATTTTATTAAGCTAAGTATGATACAAAATAAGACATGAAAATAATCGTTCTACTCCATACATTTTAAACTTAAAAAACCCTAAACTATGACGTAGAGGTTAAAATTATGATTTATATTTACGAATGTATAGTTAAATTTTATGACCTTTTTTTTTTTTCTATAAATACTTTTTACATGTAGTTTTACTTGGATTTACAATGGTAGAACTTTTTCTGAAAACCAATTTGACTGGAAAATACTTTAAGGTAGATAGTTTGGATTTTGTATATTTTGCAAAAATTTACTGGAAAAAAGAGAGAAAAATCTTGGTTTCAGAATTATTTGGGGTGTAAAAAATACAAATACATCTATTTGTTATTGTTTCCAATTTGGTTAAAAATATCTTTAAAGATTTTAAATTTAAACAGAAAACTTACATTTACTTATTCTAAACATGTACAATTTTCATATCATTTGATCAATTTTTAAGTTTTGTATACAAATTTTAATATTTTTGTTAAAATTAAATAAAAAATATTTGTATCGATTTTATAGACATAAAATTTAAACAAAAATTTACATGAAGATTTTTTAGATGTGGTGAAATTTTAAACACAGTTTTAACAATTTTTTAGCAATTTACAGATATTTTAATTTTGCAAGATATCTACTCA